CCCCCCTCCCCAGCCTGGCTGTTCTCCTCCGGTACCGCGGTCATGCTCCCCGGGGACCTGTTCTCCTCTCCCCGGTACCGTGCTGCCCTCCGTGCCCTGCCATCCTCCTCCAGCACCGTGAGGCCCACCTTCCCCAGTACGGTGGTGCCCCACTGGGCCCGTCTTCCTCAGAGCCTCCTCATCTGGTACCGTGTGCCCCTCCCTGGGCTGCTCCCCCTTCCCCGGTGCTGTGGGGCTCCCCCCGGGGCCTGTTCCCACCTCCCTCAGTGCCGTGGGGTGCCCCTACCCCCATCCTGGGACCGTGGGGTGCCCCAGGGCCCGTTCCCCCTTTCTGGGCCTCACTTGCATTCTCACCCTGCAGGTGGAGGATGCGCTTTCCTACCTGGACCAGGTGAAGATTCGCTTCGGCAGCGACCCCGCCACCTACAACGGCTTCCTGGAGATCATGAAAGAGTTCAAGAGCCAGAGGTAAGGCCCAGGCCCTGCGCCCCAGGGCTGCTCCGGGGAGCTCCTCAGCCTTTGCGGGCGTCTCTCCGCCTTCGCATCATCTTTCCAGCTCCGCAGACACACAGGCCACCCTGCTGGCCTGTCCCCCAGTAGTGCAGTCATTAGACATTGGAGGTGGAGGGTCTCTGTCCATCCCATCGTTTTCCAGAGACGAAATCCACAGGAAAAGGCAAATCTATTTTTACTTCCCGCTCTGAAATGCAGATCTGGAAAATAAGTGAGGAAGCTTGAGTGCAGAGCCCCTCTGTGACCTGTCAGCCCTAGAGGTGATGGCTGTCTTGCCTGTTTTGGGTAACCTGCACACTCATATCTCCTCTCTGTGGATAACACTCCCGGTATGAGGCTGGTGGTCATTCCCTCTGCTTGCGCTAATTTCTAGGTCTGAGGTTCCCAAACTGGCTTATTAAAAAATTGCATCTCTGAGAAGCCAGATGCTTCACATACCTCTGTAATTTGCTAGGCTTAACTTGTATTTCTGATTTGGACACAAGTAACAAACTCTTCTCAATTTTAGCATTGACACACCTGGAGTAATCCGACGTGTTTCACAGCTTTTCCATGAGCATCCTGACCTCATTGTAGGATTCAATGCTTTCCTTCCTCTGGGCTACAGGATAGAAATTCCAAAGAATGGGAAGTTAAGTATACAGTCACCTTTGAATAGTCAGGTAGGTTATAGAGCTCATATTCTCTAAGTAAATTCTGTTACACGTGTTGCTATACACATCTCTTGCACAGTTTAGTCTATGTAGATTTACATGTACTGCATGTTGCTAAAGTTTTTACATGGTTTTCAAAGTTCATGATAATGGGTATAATAAAAATTTCAATATTTATTCTCAAACCAGTTGTTAGTTTACCTTACACAAGAATGATATTCCTGCATGAAGTGCCACTTCAACTCCAAATACTTCAGTCAGATTTGAAAACTGAAATTGTAATTGGCTTGACGTATTTACATAGATTCTCAACATGTGGTGTGTGTAGTGACAAATTTCAGAAAGAGATCCTGGAAAAATTGCGTTTCCAGTCTTCCACTGAGAAACTGGGAAATGTGTTTAGGTGATAGGCAAACAATACATGTCAGGTATTGCCATGCAATTGCTAACATCCTGCAATGAAAGACATCTGCTGTGATACAGGTGGATAAGTATTGGCCTCTGCTGCTGCTTTGTTGTTGCTGAGTGGTTGTGGAGGCTGAAACAGAGTTCTACTGATGAACTTGTGGTTTAACTCTAATTAGTAGCAGTAAATATTTTTCAGATCTCAGTTCCCTTAGATCTCTCTGTTGCTTAGAGATTTAGCATCTTTAAGCTAAATGTAAATATTTGATATATTTACATAGATTCTCAATACGTGGTGTGTGTAGTGACAAATTTCAAAAAGAGATCCCAGAAGAATCGCATTTCCAGTCTTCCACTGAGAAACTGGGAAATGCGTTTAGGCAATAGGCAAAAAATACGTCAGGTATTGCCATGCAATACGTTTTAATATGTTTCTTAAAACTGACAGTGCCTCTGAAATAAAGCAGTGGTAACAGAAACTGCGGTGCGTGTTGTTTGGTACACCCTCTCAAGTGTAGTGGATAACACAGTGACAGTCAAAAGCAGTAATGAGTCAGATGGTTCATAAGCCAGATACAACTTAGAGGATTCTTTTAACTGATGGTGTTAATAAACTAGGTAGGGAAATTTATTGGCTAATTAAATCTTTTTTCTTTCTTCTTCATGTGGTAATCCTTTTTAGCTAAACAGCTTGAAAATCCTTATGCTAGATTGTTGTTGAACTTGCACCTATGTTTCTGTACAAGTCACTGTCTTATGTGTCTTATGCCACTAGGTGCCCTCAGAGCCTGTTCCCAGCGCTCTCCCTGGCAGCGGGCTGTTGTTGCATTACTCCCAGGAGAATTCGCACAATCACAGTGACTGCTCGGAGGAGTTTAGGCAACAGCTTCCATACAAAGAAGATAAATCCCAAATTCCTTTGGAGTCTGATTCTGTAGAGTTCAATAATGCTATCAGTTATGTGAATAAGATCAAAACACGTTTTCTTGACCATCCAGAAATTTACAGATCCTTTTTAGAAATTCTTCATACTTACCAGGTAAAATGTCTTCCATGTAAGTGATTGTGGGTTTGCTTGGAGCTGTTTGAGGAGTAGTGGTCAAATGGAATGTCTGCCTATTGAACAGGCTTATGCAGTTCCCAAGCACTAGCCTTTGTCCAACCTCATAGATATTCACATGAAATGACAAAAGTGTGAAAACTGTAGAACTTTCCAGGCTCTGAGGTGTAAAGGGGTTGTATCTAGATCTGTCTTTACTAACCTTTGGTTGATTTAGTGATATTCTGTGTGAAAGGATGCACCGTAAGAACCTTGGGCTATCTGATAGTTATTTCAAGTTTGTGTAGCATAAGGTTTTTGCCCGAGTTGATGAGTTTTCTTGCATAGTGAGGTATGTTTTGGACTCTAACATCTGTGCATATCTTTTCAGAAAGAACAGCTGAACACTAAAGGCCGACCCTTTCGGGGCATGTCAGAGGAAGAAGTGTTTACTGAAGTAGCAAATCTGTTCAGGGGACAGGAGGATCTGCTTTCTGAGTTTGGACAGTTCCTCCCGGAGGCTAAAAGGTCTTTGGTATGTGTATGCTTAGAACAAGGCAGAATATTGAATACTTTCTGTTTGTATGTAGAATACATAAAGAAGCTTTAGGAATGCAAAACATTATGGGAGAATGTACAGCCAGTAGATGAACTTTGCTCCTCTTCAATGTTTGGAATTTCGCAGAACAAGTGGCTTAACTACATGTTCTCTGTGCTGTTCAGATTTATAGTGTTCTTTATTTGCACCGACTGAGAAGAGAACTTTGAAATCATTATTTATTTACTTCAGTTCACAGGAAACGGACCATGTGAAGTGAACAGTGTCCAAAAAACTGAGCATGAGAAGAATCTGGAACACAGCAAAAAGCGATCCAGACCACTGCTGTTGCGTCCTGTTTCTGGCCCAGCAAAGGTATCTTTCAGCAAGTAAAAACTTAGAATAACCTGATATTACTCGTTGCGTTTAGATAATTACTTAGATAAAGTTGAAATGAGTAGCGTCTTTGAGGTATGTAGGTGTTAGTTACGAGAAACAAAATTTCAGAGTTGTTTTTAAAATAATTACTATAGAAAAAGGGAGTTTTAAAAGTATGCTTAAACGTGGGTGGTAACATGTTGAATACTAAATATCAAGATCTTCTGTACTAAGTATTGGCCCCGGACAGGGACAATTTATTGCTTTTACAAAGAAATCTTTTTTTGGAATTCTTTCTCAAGTCATCCTTTTTTGTTGTTTCTCCTTCTTAGCTGGGAGTCATTTGAGAGTGATTGCTGTGGAGGACTTGACGCAGCAACGCTAGATCACTATTTGGGAAATACTGAGTTTCAGCCTTTGCAGAGAGCTGTTACATGTCAGCAAAGTGGAATTTGATAGCATTTGGGTCACAACATTTTAAGGATAACTGTTTGTTCTTTTAACAGAAGAAAATGAAACTGCGAGGTACCAAAGATCTGTCAGTAGCGACAGTGGGAAAATATGGCACACTGCAAGAGTTTTCCTTCTTTGACAAGGTCAGTATTGGTCTGTTCTCACATTCTGTGGACTTATTTTCAGCCATTTATGCCGTTATTAATTGGTTGGTTTTCTATACAATCTATGTGTCAGCACTTAGCAATTGCCTGACTTTTCAAGTGGTAGAGAAAGACAAAACAAGAAAAGAGAGAATAGGTGGGTTTGGAAGATGAGTAGAAACTGACAATTAACCTTTTCCTGAATGCTTGTCTCTTACAGACATGTTTTTCTCTGTTTTTCAGTGATGTTTTGTCATGGTAACACCTGTAGTTACTAGATTATTCTTTGAAACTGGGCATTTTTTGCATATTCTCCTTTTATGTTGCAATGTAGACAGAGGTTTGTCACTGTACCCATGGTTGAGACTACTTAGAATATGAACTAAATAAAAGTGGTGTTCAAGTGATCTGATCATTTCTCTCCAAACTGTGCTTTAGGTGCGTAGGGTGCTAAAGAGCCAGGAAGTCTATGAAAATTTTCTCCGTTGCATTGCTCTCTTCAACCAGGAGTTGGTCTCTGGCTCTGAGTTGCTCCAGCTAGTTACACCGTTTTTAGGGTAAGTTACTGACTACCTTCTCTGCTGTGTCGTACTTTTTGGGTCTTACTCTGTTACTTTTTAGTAGACATCGTGAACTTTGTTACAGAAGATTTGGATTTAACTTCAGAAATACTCCTAGGTAGCATGCAAGAAATTGAAGGCTAATCCAAAAAGAGGAGTCATAAAATCTGAATCTTTTAACATACCTACACAGCTCTGAAAGAGCATTTTGGGGAGGATATTTTCCTCTGTCTGCGCATCCAGTTGAAAGCTTCACAAGCAGCAGGCTACCTGATGTTATACTAAATCACTGGGGGCAGAGAATTTTATGAATTCTGGAGGGTGGTCTCTGTTCACAGTCCCTGTTCTAATCTCTCAAAATATAATACAGGTATAAACATGAAATCTCAGAACAGAGCTGTAAAAAGGATAAATAGTTCTAGCTCTGATGTGAGCCTCTCGTGCTGTTTGTCTTTCAAAGAAGAGGGAGAGTCAGATGGCAAAGATCAGTGACTTCTCAGTCAGTTAAGGAGAGTATTCGTGAAGTTGTGAAGGGAAATTCTTTTCCTGCTTTAAGTCAAAAAAAAGCTAAAGTAATTCAGAGAGAATGATCACAGAGGTAAAATATTGGTGAAAGATTTCTCACTGCAATGCTAAGTTTGTTTAGATTTTTTCCCTCACTTTTATGACGCATTAGCCACCCTAAAACTGTCAGAGTGAAATAACAAAATACGCTTACTTGTGTTTTTGAAGGAAATTCCCAGAACTCTTTGCACAGTTCAAGTCCTTTCTTGGTGTGAAAGAGCTTTCATTTGCTTCTCCACTGAGCGACCGATCTGGGGATGGAATGAGTCGGGAAATTGATTATGCTTCCTGCAAACGCATAGGATCAAGTTACCGGGCTCTCCCAAAAACCTATCAGCAGCCAAAGTGCAGTGGAAGAACAGCCATTTGCAAGGAGGTACTTTGGGATCAACCTGTTCAATCCCTGAACACACATTGCACTTACGTAACTTGAAGTGGGGTCGTTAGTGCTACAGCTTCTGCATGTGGATTCCCCTCTTTAATGCTGATTAGCCAGCTTTAATTTCACATCAGTTATTCATCCAATTTATTGAAATAAGAGTATCCACATGCATTTTACTGATTTTATCTAAACCCATCTCAAATCACGTCTTTCACTTTAATGTCTTTTGAGACTGTGTGCATACACAAATTTATTCCTATAGATAGAAAAGAATATTAAACAGCTTTAATTAATTTTCTAGCAGTGGACCAATATGGCCTTTAGAATTAGTTTTTCTCCTGAAAGAGCACTGTGAGCCAGTGTCTTAGGCACTGTTCTCACTGAGAACAGACGTCAGCAGCGTAGGTGCTCCCACCTCTTGCTGTTGTTGGCAACTCTGTCTCCTTTACTTACAGTTGCTAATTGCTGCAGAGTGATCTGTGTGGTTTGTGAGATGATGGTGAAGGTGCTTTTGAGCATACTGAGCAGAGCCCTGGCACAGTTCCACACAGACCTCTAATCTTCTGAGTCATGACAGTGACTTGTGAACTAGGTCTGAAACTTCCAATAGAAACTCAGGGAAGGACTGTGCAAAAATAAAACAGAGAAGTATCAGACCCCATGAGAACAGCTCTGGGCTCACAAGGCTCTGTTCAATGTCATGTCTTTGCACTGTTGCAGGTGTTAAATGATACCTGGGTTTCATTTCCATCCTGGTCTGAAGACTCCACTTTTGTCAGTTCCAAGAAGACTCCTTATGAGGAGCAGTTGCACCGCTGTGAAGATGAGCGGTTTGAGGTACCTCTGCTACTGAGCTTCCTTTCTGCCTGTCTGCCTTCTCAGAAAGCAAAACTTCTAGCTATGAGGATTTTGACTGAATGAATTGGTGGCCAATTACTGAAAGTTCTGTTAGTGTTCATTGGTTTGAGCTAGCGTTTGGTGTTTTCCACTTGCTTGGAGTCTAATAGTTCTTTCTAGGCATGAGTCCAGTTCTAAAAAGCATGTTACCTTTGGGAGAACTGGCGGAGGTATATTCTCCAGTAAGAAACCTTGCTGATGCTTCTTAGCTCCACCCAGTGGGGCTGGAATGCATGCCACAAACCGGGCGCCACTGGTCTGCATTTTCCTGCTATGCCTGTTCTTACGCTGTGTCTTTTGTGAACTCTTAACAGTTGGATGTTGTCTTGGAGACTAATTTAGCCACAATACGTGTGCTGGAGAGTGTGCAGAAAAAACTGTCACGACTGACTCAAGAGGATCAGGAGAAATTTCGACTGGATGATTGCTTGGGAGGAACATCAGAAGTGATCCAGCGCAGGGCCATCTATCGCATCTATGGTGATAAAGCACCAGAGATCATTGAAAGTCTTAAGAAAAACCCAGTTACTGCAGTTCCTGTTGTTCTTAAGAGGTAATTCCCATTCTCCTGTGTTCACCTGGGTTAAGAAACTGATACAGAATTTTTAAAGCATTTTTAAACAACTGTTTTCTGTAGATGTTTTTTCAAAGGATAACTCATCTTCAGTGGTGGTGCTTTTTTAAATTTATTTATTACTTCCAGGAATACTGAAAAGTTTTTGGTGCATCACAGTTGGCTATGTTAAAAATGCTTTGTGTGTATTTCTGTGGTTGTCTTTTTGAACTGAAGTAGATTATACATTTATGCAGATTGAAAGCAAAGGAGGAGGAATGGCGGGAGGCCCAGCAGGGCTTCAACAAAATTTGGCGGGAACAGTATGAGAAAGCCTACTTGAAGTCCCTTGACCACCAGGCCGTCAACTTCAAACAAAATGACACCAAAGCTTTGCGCTCCAAGAGCTTGCTGAATGAAATTGAGAGCGTTTATGATGAGGTGCGTACACTAGTAAATAATCCATCCTGTATGTCCTTCATTTATAGTATTACCTAGATGTTTACATAGCACCTGGGACCTTATTGAAGTGGTAGTGCTCTGAAGAGTTCTCAGTCAAAAATGACTGTCCCAAACATAGCGTTAATACTGGCTTATTTCTTCTGGCAGGAATGGCTCTTGAGCATGGATTGGAAGGATCTTTATCTATTTGTCTCTTGATTACAGCATCAGGAGCAGCATTCAGAGGGGAGAAGTTCATCCACAAACGAGCCTCATCTTATCTTCATCTATGAAGATAAGCAGATTTTGGAAGACGCAGCATCTCTTATCAGTTATTATGTAAAAAGGCAGCCTACTATCCAAAAGGAGGATCAAGCAACCATCCGGCAGATAGTGCATCACTTCATACCTGAGCTGTTTTTCTCTCAGCCCCCTGAGCACAGTATTTCTGAAGAATCAACAGATGAGGACAGAGAAAACCATCAGGGGCAGAACCTGGATACTCCTGAGCTACGGAAAAAACATGTGCCTGGGCCTCCAAGCAGTCCTTTGGAGGCAAAAGCAACCTTCTGTGATGTTACAGCTGCTGAGCCCCACAACACTCTGGATGATGTTTACAGTCTATTCTTTGTCAATAATAATTGGTATTTCTTCCTCCGCCTTCACCAGACTCTGTGCTCAAGGCTCCTAAAGATTTATCGTCAAGCTCAGAAGCAGCTTCTAGAATATCGGACTGAAAAAGAGAGAGAGAAGCTCCTTTGTGAGGGAAGAAAAGAAAAAACCAATGATCCAGCCATGGAACTAAGACTGAAGCAACCAAGTAAGAATAATCCGGGACATAGTCCATTCTTAATGCTCTGGTTGCTACTGCTCCATTGTATATACCTGAGTAACTGAGACTAGCAGGCAAGTCTGTAAGGAGGTGCAAACCTCCACGATATTTGTGATTTGTGGATACAGCTAATTTAACAGGATAGCTAGTTTGTAATTTATCTTCTGAAGGCTCTCATGCATAGTTCATAGAGACTTCACGCAAGCCCACTGCTGTCAGATGTTCTCAAGTGTCTCATTGTATTAATCTGTTACTTTGGTTTAAAATGTAAATGGCTCCACAGCGAAATAGTTAACTACAAAAGGAAGTCATGGAAGTGCATGAGATAAAACTTAGTCTGTCAGCACTCCTTACAGAGAACTGTCTGTCTGTAAGCACGTTCTCGATACTGAATGTCACGGTTCTTGAGTAATGCTGTCTCTTGTATCTCTTGACTTCACTCTGCCTCTTACACGCATTAAGTGACTGCACTTTTCCCCTACCCAGGTGAGGTGGAACTGGAGGAGTACTACCCTGCGTTCCTGGACATGGTGAGGAGTCTGCTGGATGGGAATATTGACCCAACACAGTACGAGGACACTCTGAGGGAGATGTTCACTATCCATGCCTATATTGGCTTTACTATGGACAAACTGGTGCAGAATATTGTCCGCCAGGTAACTAATTTGATGGCTGTGCTGTGTGTTTGGGGGGCCGCACATCTCCCTTCTATCGACAGATGGGTTTCTCACAGTACCCTGTAATGCAAGGACTCACTAAACTTAAAGCAAATTCATAGAAAAGTTATATATGTAGAGGAAAGACTCTAACAGAAGTTCAGTGAGATAGTTCAGCTTCAGTACAGGGACCACCTTAGGGGATTTACTTCTTCCTGGCCTTTTCCAACATTTGAGTTCCAGTCTTTTCAGAATTCAGCCATTCCCAGAATACATCTAAGGCAAAAAAAAAAAAAGGTCCAGTCCTTTTTACTCAAATCTGTCTTCTAATTCTAGTTTTGTTACAGTTAAGGCACATCAGCCCCTCACTCTTCTCTGTTCATTTTATTGAATAGTAATGAAAAAGAGAGTGAAATGTGTAAAGTCTCTGGAGTTAAAACTTTGCTGCTTCTGAGGTGTGATGCTGTGCTGAGTTTTGTGCTCCTTTCATAAAGCACTAGAGTTAACTCTTGGCCCAGACTTGCTGACTGAATTCCCCCTTTTTTAATGGAAGCTTCACCATCTAGTGAGCGATGACATCTGCTTGAAGGTTGTTGAGCTCTACTTGAACGAAAGGAAGCGAGGTGCTGCTGGAGGTAACTTATCCTCTAGGTGTGTCCGGGCAGCAAAGGAGACCAGCTATCAGTGGAAGGCTGAACGTTGCATGGCGGATGAGAACTGTTTCAAGGTAAGAACTTGCTGCCAGGGTACTTCGTAAAGTGACTGTGGCACCTTACCTGGGAGAAATGGGTTTGGAAGCTCCAAGGCCACAATGGTGAGAGAGCACAATATGAAGAGAAGGTACCAAAAACAGAGCATAGGCAGTAAAGTGGCATACTGGCTCACTGAAAAGCCCTGCTGCTTACTTCTCTCCTAGCTCGTATTTGTTATCCAAATGACTTGTTGTGAATATACAGCATTTTATTGTGAACCCATGTGGCCAATATCTTGTGCCTGTAACTTTATTACAGGTAATGTTTCTTCAGCGGAAAGGACAGGTGATCATGACCATTGAGCTCCTGGATACGGAAGAAACCCAGACAGAAGATCCTGTGGAGGTCCAGGTAATATCACAGTGACCATGGAGTCTGCTGTACCACAGACAAAGCAGATGTCTAAGAATGCTTTCCTGCTTTCTTGTTCCAAACTGTGAGACTTTGCCAGGAGAAGTTTACCTGGGAGGTGGGAAGATTACGTGTGGGGCTGTGGTCATTGACAGAAATGGGTATGTTAGCAAAAGAGTTTCAACATAAATCAGCTTGGGGTTGAGTGATATACCAGCAGCTTCATAAAAAGCAGCTTGGAAATAAACTAGTTCTTTGCAGTGGTGTTTGTTTTGATGAGACCGAAGTCTGACTTGAAATTGGTCTCTCTTGTGTAGCACCTGGCTAACTACATGGAGCAGTATGTTGGGGTGGAAGGAGCTCCAAACAACCAGAATGATGGCTTCTTATTGAAACCAGTCTTTCTGCAAAGGTGAGTGCGCTCCCTCTCCTGAGTCACACCTGCAGCAGCTGATACTGCTTCCTCTCTGCATATGTGGCAGTGATTTTAGGTGATGTCCTGTACAAGTAACTCTAGGGAAACACACTCATCTTTGAGGTCCAAAGGGGCTGCTGTAGTCCAGTGCACTGCATAAGAATGCTGAAGAAAAGATTTATGACCACTGCATTGAGGTTTGTTCATGAAACTGTGTTTAGAAAGGAGCGGGACTGTCTAAGCAGTCCCTTCTGGGAGGAATGTGAGGTCTAATTTGTTCCCATTTCACTAAATATTTGTCAGAGTGTATGGAGAAAGATCCTGGAGAAAGTCTGAAAACTAAATATGGAAATACAAATTTCATACTTGTGCTGTCAGCTCTGGTAGCTTAGCAGAATGGATAACCAAGTGTGACACATGCTTCGTAATCCTTGTTTTGTTCTAGGAACCTAAAAAAGTTTCGCAAGTGGCAATGTAAGCAAGTGAGAGCTCTGCGCAGCGAAGTGAAGAGCTCCTGGAAGAGGCTGATTGGGGTGGAAAGTGCCTGCAACGTGGACTGCCGGTTCAAGCTCAACACCCACAAAATGATGTTCATCATGAACTCGGAGGATTACATGTACAGGCGGGGAGCTCTCTGCCGAGCCAAGCAGGTGCATCTCCTATTACTCTCTCTGCAGCTCAGGCAGTAGCAGAGGTTGAGGATGTGAGCCAAAAGACAGGTACCGATAAGAAGTCTTGTGGCTGAGTTCCTGCAAACTACACCCAGAAGTTACAGCTCTGTGTTGGATGAAACATGGAGGAGAGCTGGTAAATGCTCTGTACTTTGGTTTAGTTTAGCAGTCTTTACTTTACCATGCAAATTTTAAGGGGGAGTGGCAAACATTAAGAAATAGAGATCTTTAAATGCAGGTATGCGGTTTCCTGTTTTACTGTTTGTGTTGTGTTGTAAAGCATGCGCATCTCAGACCACAGAGAGGCGAAGGTTTTGGCTTCTCCCCCAGAAACCTCTCAGTGATCTTTACTGTCCTGCTTTCAGGTACAGCCAATGGTGCTGCTAAAGCATCACCAGCAGTTTGAAGAGTGGCACAATAGGTGGCTAGAAGAGAACGTGACGATGGAGGCAGTTGATGTAGTTCAAGACTGGCTAATGGGAGACGAAGATGAGGAGATGGTGCCCTGTAAAACAACTTGCGAGACGGTGAATGTCCATGGGGTCCCAGTGAACAGATACAGAGTTCAGTACAGTCGCCGTCCAGCTTCACCATGAGCAGAGACTTGTTCCTGGGACCAAGACAAGTAGGAGCGTTGCTGGTGAAACACATTTACTCTGACAATAGTGGTGGGAATGCAATGTATGTATTAATGATATTTATCCAAACAGCATTTTACTTTGGATTATGATGTATTTTCCATATGGCATAGACTTGTCTCCTTGCAGTGTAATCCTCCAGCCATCATGAAGAGACTTTTCAGAGCTTTGTGGGAAGAGGGCTCTTGGCATTGCCACACAATTTTAGTAGTTTCCTAGCTTTAGGCCACTGCTGCCCAGCCGATACTGGAAGGCTGAGTGAGGGGGTCAGGCTCTGGGCGAACTACCACTAGTGGCTTTGTTGGAGAGATGGAGCTGCGCTGGTATTTGAGCAGATGCTGGCAGCTGCTTCCACTTTGAAGGGTTTAATGTTCCCTATCTTCCTGAATTTATGCCGTCTTGGAGCCTGCAGAACTCTTCAATGTAACCTCTGAGTGCCAGCGGGGCTGAGAGTACCTGGCACAGATTGCTAGCCCCGCTACGGGCTGCTTCATTATCTATGTGTACTAATAAGGCAATGAACGCAGTATTTGTTACTGGTGCTTTGGTGAGAAAAATGCCAAAACTGAGAGAAGGGCGAACAGCGTACTAAATGCTCTAACTCTCATTCATCAACTAAGTATTTTGGAGCATGAACTAAGGGGAAGAAACTCTCCGAGCTGCAGTGCTAGGCAAGAGAGCATTTTGCAGCACAAGACAGCCTAGGCCCATCAGCCACCCCTCTGCAGATGTGCACCGGATCCCATGTTGTTGCTTTGTGAACTTATGACCTGCTGCAGACTCTGCCTTCTCAGATATGGAGCTGCTTGGAGCGTGTGCCTGGGGAGGAATATCCATTGCGAGGTCTGGCCTTTTTTTTTTTTTTCTTTTTTTGTATTTTGCATGTTGATTGGCAGCCTCTGGAGACTGCGTTCTCAGGCGCTTCGCTTTCCTTGTGCATGCCCGGACTCTGTGGTTCTGCTGGGTTGTACCACTTAAATAACATCAGTAGATGGAGCTCTTGCAGCACAGTGTTTGCACTGGATCTGAGGTTTGTCCCAGATACTTTGCTGTTTCTGCTGGGTCAGCACAGATGCTGTATTTGCAGTGACACATGGAAATCTGTAATGGGCAGTGTTAGATCCAGCCACAACCATTGTGGACAAGGTTTTCCACTGAACCATCTGTACTTCTGTCTAAGCTTTTTCGCAATGAAACGTAACAAAAAACCTACCCCGAACCATGCAGAACACTACGTCAATTGTCTGACTTAATCTATTGAAAAATCAAGAAAATGTAGTTGTGTCTGTCCTGCAACCCCACTGTGACTTCGCTCTTGTTTTTCAGGGGCCAAGGGCAAGCACACTGTCCGTGGAGTGTATTACAAACATAATGTCTTGAGGCAGGTCCAGCCTCCTTTCAGCTCTGCTTCCAACTTTTTCCTGGCTTTTCGGGGAATAACCCCCCCACCCCGGTATTTTTTGTGGCTTTGATTTTTAGGTTATAATTTCTGCCAGACCTAAGTAGCAGCCTGTAGGATTTGTCCTGGGTTATTTCCACTGTACAACATTTGGTTTTGCAATTGTCTCACTTGACAGTAGAAAAATTGGCCTTTGGGGTACGTTTAATAGAAAACTGTACTGACTCTTTGTCTTTTTTGCAAAATAATCTGTAGGAGGGAAGGAGGGAGGCCAGTCTCTGGCATTCGTGGCCACTTGCACAACCACTGCCAGCAGAGGACTTTTCATCAAGAACTCATGTTCTCGTTGTCTGGGTCTGTTAAATTTTGGTTACTGAAATGAGCTGAAGGTTCTTCCCCTGCTCTTGTTGCAGTAAGTGATAAAAGACACTGACCACGTAGCTATGTGAGGGCTGGGTGGAGGAGTGGGGGGACAAGGCCAGTGCAAAGCACAGTATCCCCCTTTTGCTTCCAGACAGCTCAACAAAATACACCTCAGTCCTGTTCACCTCTCTGCTGTCTTCCAGTGGAGATGACAACTGTGCCAAATTTTATGGTTTTATGATACAGAAAAACGTTTACTAGAAAATAGGTTGCAACTTGTGGCTTAAAATGCATTTGATTCCAAGTGTACCAGGGTGTAGGAGGGTAACGCACCTGTGCACCATCCTATTCCGTCTCCCCATTTTTAAGTGTACTTCAGGTATTTTTAAGCATCCTTATTTTTTAAACCTTAATTTATAATCTGAACAGATTAAGTAAGACTTTCGCCCTTTACAGTGCTATTGTCTCAAAAATGATAGTAGCAAATGATGTGAATGGAATAAGCAGGCAGTGCAGGTTTGAGAGTGGCTTGCTAATGTCTGAGAGTTCAAGCTCGATCGCTGTGTATCTGTTAGCACGACCTTGATTCAAGAGTTTGTTCTTCCATTTTTTTGAAGGATCTTTGCTTTTGGGCTTGTAATTGCTTTGCCAGCTCTTTGAATGTAGTTTTTTTTATATTTATTTGCACATTCAAGTCAAATAAAATATTGATTTTAAAAGTCTGCAGCTCTCACTGTTTTAAATTTATTTTAAATTAATTTAAACTTTCTGACAGTCCTCAGAATTGATTGTCTTGCACCTGAAACTGAATTTTAAATAGTAAAAGAATGCAGTTGAAAAGTTGGATGAACTTCTCTTCAAGCAGTTGCAAGACAGGCTGCAGGATGTAATGATTTAGATGTTCGCCGACTCACTTCCAGTGGGCCAGCAGGCAGCAAATCTTTAACCTTACCCACACTGAGAAGTTAGTGCACTAGCTAACATAAAAGGGAAACAAGTTCCCTGCGAGTCGCGTGCAATAGGAGATCCCACGCAGGAAGATAGTGCCTGTGGCTCCCTACTTACATGTGTGCTGCCAGGACCTCTCTTGGAGCAAAGGCCCACGGCTGGACGAGAGCACGGGAGTCCATGGGGTGGCATAGTTGCTCCATGCAGAGACAGGTTTCAAAAGAAAACATTGTGTAGTGCCAGCAAAGCATATGTTTTTGCAGATTGGTTTATTTCTAGCAGCACCTTTGCCATGAGAGGTGTGGCGCAAAAGTATGGTCCAGGCCTGGCCCCCAAGTACTCGCACGCTAAATACAAGAGACATTCAAGAAAAGTCACTGATTCCAGTTCCGAAATCTATAAGCACATCTGCTACAGGTTAAGACAATACAACTGCAACCATGAAAATAACCCTCCACCCGCCTTTCCCTCAACCTCCCAAATTCCTGGGTAATAACATGTTTAACTGTGTTCCCTGTGAGCTCTGCACAACAAATGAATGTGTAGATTTTGCAAATTAAGCTGTAGTGATGTGACCCAGATCTGATAGGAGTTTCCTTTACATCATTCTCAACACTTCCGTTGCCATAACAAAAGGCAACTCTGCTTTCTGTGCAGCATATTACTTGCTCACAGGGAAACAAACTGTTGTTCTCCTAATAACAATCCTCTGATGCATAAATTGCATGGAATAATTTGATTAAAATGACGGTAGTGGCGTCTCAGAGGACACAGTCCACTTTACACAAGTCTTCTCACGGAGATCTTGGACTTCTCACAAAGAGGACATTCCCTGTGCTCAAGGGGAGGGACAGCCAGATCTGACATCACCCAGGACCAGTTGGAGATCTCAGCAAGTGGACAGCTTTGGCAACGACAAAAAAAGACAGCTTAAAAATATCTTGCAGGTTTGCAGGATGGAATAAGAATTAATGGTTTTCTAAATTAAATTAAGAATTGCTAAAGGGAGTACCTGAATTCAGTATTTAATATTTCAGGACTGGTTTTTTTTTCACGTTTCCGTATCACAGTGATGCACAGAGAGAAAGACAGGGCTGCAAACCAGTAAGAGGTAGTCTAGAAGTATGTGTGTAAACATGGGCTTTTCTTCATGCTTTAGCCATTCCTCTGGATTAGAACTAAGTAACTCAACCTTTATGAAACCAGAGGTACACTCTATGTTCCACTCATCAAAATTGAAGACTAAATTAAAATCTAGCAATTCTAAACCATACCTGTGCTAAAGGACGAACCCAAAAAGACTCATCTGAGACCCAGTGCTGATAAGGGATGATGTTTGTATCAGGCAAGGTAGCCCATACCCCAGTGTCATTATCTTGCTGAGAAAGGACCAAAAGAAGCTATTCCAGAACATCTAGTGAGTTATAGTGATGCTAATGAACTTCAAATATTTCTGAAAAATGGCTTCATGTGGACTTCCTACACTCTGAAGTGAAAACTGCAAACAAGCAAAAGAAAAAAAACTGTCTCCCCAAAAGTATTACAACAGCATAAGGCTTACAAGCGGTAAGGAGAATGTGAGCACAAAAGGTGTGGCATAACCAAGGGAAAAGATTGGATGGGATCCCAGTGGAACAGGAGAACTGTGGAACAAGCAGAAAAGAAGAGAGGCAGGGAGATTCCCTGGAGCGGTAGAGTCTCAGAGTGATGGTAAGAGACCTGACGAAGTGAGAGGAAGAGGAGCTGGTGTGATGGCAAAGTCAGGAAGAGTGCCCAAGGCACAAAGAGCCTGCAAAGACAAATCTGGGGTGGGGGGATCCTGGTTCAAAGGACCATCATTTCTATTTCAATAGTCAGTGGAAGTTTTCTGTGCCTTGTGGTTCTGAGAAGGCTCAGATGCTTGCACACCCAGCGGCTGGGAAAGGCAGGGCCAGCACTGCATTCATGGAAAATGTGAGGTTGTGCTGACACTGGTGGAAATGCTTCATGCTGCTGGCGCTAAGGCAGAGCTGCTGCCTCCACCGTCAGCTGCCTCTCCTGTCTGCATCGCAAATGCGAGCTCAGCCTGGAGCAGGTATTAGCTGCACTAACATTTCGGTCTTCTTCACACCTGCTGACTTGCAGCTGAAGGACTCTCGAGCTGCTGGAACAGAGCAGAAATAGCAAGCCCCATTATTTGCCTACCAAAGCTTGCTCTTCCAAGCCTTAAAGATGTATGGGACAGGCCAGGTGGTGTTTGTACCCTCCCTCCGAGCTTTAAAATCCCTAGCCTCTTTTCCAGCATTACATCTTTTGGGTTCAGAGCCATGGAATAAAAGAGCGCCTTCTCCCAGGAGATGATCTATTGCACAATGAATTACTTTAAAACCAAATTGTTACCCCACAGGGCAGGG